CCTTCGTCCTGAACCTTTTTGCTGCTTACCAAATAACTTTGAGCCTCGGTCAGAAAAAAAGACTGGAGGGTTTTATATTTCTGGCCCGAGAGGACAAAACAAATGGCGGACTGAGTCCCGTCCCCCCGGACGTGTCTCCTCCTCGTGACGTGCCTCGCGTCAAATCAGACCGTCGTTTTAAAAAATCAAATGTGGCATATACTTTTTATCATATCTTCACATCTACTTGGTCTAACAATACAATTAAAAAACTGGTTTAAAGTTCGAAGTCTCCACTTTTCACTCGAGAGGCTCAGAGAGGGCGGATCTTTACAGATAGAGGGGTTTTTTTTCTTCCCAAACTTTATTAGGTCAGCCAGCATTGACAACGCTCTGCGGGTGACGCAAACGGCTCCGCGACACGGCGAGGGACGCATAAATCGCGCGACACAACGAATCAATAATGAAATTCGTTGCCAACACTTTTAATAATCGATTTTTATCGATTTTATTGATTCGTTGTTGCAGCCCTAGAGAACTATAATCTTCCAACAAATTCAGGTTTAAATAGGACACTTCTGAACTTGCCCTTCTCCTTTGTCTGTGCAGTTTCTGGTGTARGTTGACCCTCCAGAGTCAGGTGGTCCAATGGACATGGAGACTGATGGACCGCTCCTAGACGATGTCAACTTGTTGAAAAAAACAGTAGAGGAGAAAGCCTTACAGGTCAGTGTTCAGTGTAGCAGTAAGATGTAGAAGTTCAGTCTGAGAGGATTTTAAAAAGAGCAAAATATATTCAGAAATGTGTCCCTATCGTCCAAATGTTTGCAGTAAATTTATAGGTTATGATGTGAACTGTCCCATGTTRGCTATGAAAGAGACAGAGGCAGATTAAATAATGTCAGATTGTTGGACATCTCACACAGCTGCAGTGTGATTTAGTGTTTATGTTACTGATCCCTCCGTTTTTGTTTTGTTTTTACATTTTTTCTTTTTGGTGCGCAGATCCAAAAAGATCAGCGGCGAGAACGTCCTTTAATGAGGAGGAAATCCGAGCTCCCAAAAGACATCTCTACTGTCACAGCCTTGGAGCTGCACCGGAGAGCCGAGGAAATGGTGACGACTCACGACGGCCACTAAGAGACCACCGCAGATCCACCGTAAACCAGCAGCGGCAGCCTCCACAGAGGGACCACGGGCCCACCGGGGGAGGGTGGGGGTGGGGCCAGCACAACCACCGAGCTCTGGTATCTCAGTGCAGGCCCGCACAATACAGAACCAGTTCCAGCACAGCCCGACACAGAAAATGTCTAAAGCTACTCGTTTAAGCTCGATCCGACCTTTTTTTTTTTTTTTTTCCCCTGAACGAGCAGTGCTTGTCCCCTCTGCCCCTCCTGATGGCAGAGACAGCTGCGATGCTGGACGCTCTCGCATGATGACGACACACACCACTTCCTGAACTTTTACCCACGAAGAGCTTTTATGTCCTTTCCCTCCGCTTTTCCTCTCTTTCCTTTTTTTATTACGGGGTGCTGTGCTGCCCCCTTCTGGTCATTCTTCTCAGGTGTTCTGTGCGTGAGCTGTCTGATCTTGCCTCCTCTCTATAGATGTCAGGTGCTTGTAAAAAAAAAAAAAAAAAAAAAACAAAGAGCCCCTAGCTGTAACCTCAACAAAAATCTTTGGTTTAATAATTTAAAAGAACGTTAGTTGGTGAAACAAGTCAGTTCACATATATATAAGTATTTAATATTAGATATTTTTCTCGAAACACTTGAAGAAAACGGCTGTTTATATTTTTCCCTACGTAGTATATTAGTAGCTTGTTTCAGATTTCTGTAGAGCTGCTGTGCCACTTGCTTTGGTCGTTCTCTTTATAACGACACCTGACACTCCAGTGGGTCTAGATTTTAATGAACAGCACAGTTTCATTAGCAAACAAACAGATGTGTCTAGATTTTTTTTCCTCTCAGATCGCTCCTGTTTAGTTGACTTGACTGTGAAGGCAGTCCGTTAGCACAGCTTAGTCACGGTCTGTGTGTTTAGATCCATAAGTCTTCGCTGCATCGCTTACATGAATGAGATTTATTTTAAAAGTTCTCATTTGCTTCCAGTCGTAGGATTTAATTTAACGTTCTGAGCAAGTCATTTTGATTCATGTGAGGCTTTTATAAAAGGGTTCAACAGATAAAGCGGCTCATGTTTACTGACAGGCAGAGATTAGATCGCGTCACAGAAGCGGTATGTTGTGTTCGAAGCCTTTCTTTTCACAGTGCCTTTTGTCGTCGAGGGGGGCGGGGTTGTAAAGCACGATTTAAAATGATAGAGGATTTGAAAACTATGTTTGCTTATATTTAAAGAAAATCAGACGTGTTTAAGTGTATTTTTGGCACACCTCCAGCCCCTCCCCTTGTTGATTTTCCAGCAGGCGGTGTGGTCTTCTCTCCCCTCAAGCCAGTTCAGCAGTTAAGCACTTCCTGATAAAACTTGAAAAAAATAAAATAAAATAAAAAAATCGACAAGGTAGAGCAGAGTTGAAATCCGCGATGCTGTCTGTTTTTGTGTGTGTGTGTGTGTGTGTGTGTGTGTGTGTGTGTGTGTGTGTGTGTGTG